TAGAAGTAGTAACGGTTGCGTTATGTTATTTATAAATAATTGTTATAAAATAACAGATAGTTAAATAACAACCCACCACTATAAAAAATGTCAAGTTGCCGCATTTATTTATTTATTTCCTGACATTGTCATTCGTTTTGACACTTTAGTTTTGTATTACGAGTTTTTGGTTCAAATAAATAGAATTGTGATACTGAAAATGTTTACTAGCAGACCTTGAAGTAGAATATTGTTCTTTTAAGAACCTCTTTTAATGCGAATTGAGTGGGGGTACAAGATAGCTTAAGAGCCGTAAAAAAACTCATCGTAATTTTAGTAGAATATTTTGAACGGGGGTTATGGTTATAACTAGTAATGTAATATAACCGGCAATATTACGGTTACATTGGTAGTTTAAAAAAAACAGCTTTTTAAATAATATTCTTATTTTCTACTATGTTTTCGTAATGTTTTTACAGTTTGAAACTGTAAAAACATTACGAAAAAGAAACGAACATTTTTTAAACTCCTCAGAGACAGAGTGGCCTATGTTAAGCCTGTCCTACACGATGTGGCAAACACCTTTCATCGTTGGACACATGAACATTTGCCACATCGTGTTGGAGACACACTTGTCAATTATAATATTGTCGAAACCTGTCGCAAATGTTGGTTACAACGTTGGAACCAACGTTGGACGCATCGTGTGTGACCGGCTTTATAGTATCCTTATAGTAAATATAGAGTGGATAATGGTAAATCATCCTCATCCGTCATCTGGTTCTTCTTTCTCTTTCGTTTATTGAATCAACTTTATAGGCACTTCGAAATCGATATCTTCTTCTACCATTCTTGGATGTTCTCCTCCATTTGGTAATGATGATGGTAAATTGGAAATGTCTACAGCCAACATACTTATTTTAGAGCTGGGCACATGAAAAAGAGTAGAGCGGAAAAAAATCAATATTTCCCACGTTACCGATCATGAAGTAATATTAAGTAATATTACCAAAATTACCGGTAATATTACCCATTACATCACTAGTTATATAACCCTTTAAAACGGTTAAAAAATATATAAGTTGTGTCTCCTTCATCCAAATATCTCCGTTAGTTCAGAAATTATTGCGAAAAAATCGAAATAAAAATGAAATTCCTACACCCTGCATCTCTGAAATGAAGCATTTTAGGACATAGTTTATACGAACTTTTTTAAATATTTTTATCAGCAGAATATATGCTGCCGAAGTTACAATTCGGACCACCCTGTATATCGTGTGAGGCTGTCTGCGTACGGGGGCCTTCATTTTGGCGTTTTTGTTATTTCGACACAAAGACGACGGACGTTCGCAGGTATAAAATACGAGGTGCAATCTAGGTTCTTTTGTAAATTTAATTCTAAGAATGGCGTAGCTGGCACATAATGGAACCATGAAATATTGTTGGAAGAGTGGACGGGATTCACGAAATTTATAAGTAAAGCCGCCCCTTATCTGGCGTTTTTCTCCTCTCTCAGGTGTGCAAAATATTTTATTTCTAAAGAAACAGGTTTGTTCATAATATATAATATTAAGGGGTAGGTATATCGTTATTTATAATTTACTGATTGAAGAAAGGTACAGAATATTCGTTATTGTAGAAAAAAAAGGAAAATGGAAACCACTAGCACGAAATTCTTCTTGATAGAAATTTCCTCCCCTAGACCAATGAGGATGTTTCAAAAAATAAAATTAAAACTAAAATGATCTAATATTTAAAAATATACCTACAAGCACAGAACCCGTCTTATGCCAAAAACGTTGTTTCGAGATAATATATGCTAAAACTGTTTTAGCAAATGTTTGAAGCGTTATTTTACAAAAACGTGTCCATTGAGTGGAATCATTATTTTGTATCTGGTTTCTCTAGAAATAAAAATTAATATTTAATGTTTTAAGAGAACAACACAAAAATAATTCGAATAAGGCGGGTTTTGTTGCAGTATGATGCATAGGTATTGCGGGGTTTGCAACAGCAAAATACAATATGATCGAAAAAAACGGCGTCAGCAATGGCTATGAAATGAAGATCGCTGTCATTTTATATGTAAAATTATATATATAGGGAATGTCATCGATGTTCATTTCCAAGCCAACTGGACGCCGTTTTTTTTCGATCATATGGTATTTGCATCCTAACTTGATTTATTTGATATATATGTTATTTTATTAAAATTAGGTAAGGATTTGAAATGGATTAAACGTCAGTAGTAATATTTTACTTGTGTAAAAAGCCTATGAAAAAATCGGGATTTGCAACAATAATGACAATAAAACATAAAAAGCAAATATATGTGGATTTTGCTGCAGTAATGTAATTTGTAGTGAATTTTATATAGGTAAGTGCGACTTTTGCTGCAGTTTGGGACTATATTTATGTAGATTTCAGGGTCCCACTATTAATATATGTCATTAGGCCATTTAAAAAAAATGGATAACGCTATATCATTCTATGACACAGAGGATTATATCAATTAATTAACTAAAAATACAGAATAAATTTAAAAACAAGATTTATCTTTTGAAAAATAAACTAAAAACTGGATTATACATTCTAATTTAGTAATAATTAAAATTTATAGTCTGTGTCTGTATCTGAATAGTCATCTATATAAATAAACTCTCGATAATGGAGAAACTTTTATAAATCTTTATTGTTTCTATAGTAGTGATGGGAATACCGGTTCCACATGAGTCGCGTTACAATAGCGACCGTTCCAGAAAAATACCGCGATAAAATACCGCGATTTTGTAACCGAGGTTCCGACTTCCAAAGTGTTGCGTCGCGTTACAATAGCGACCGTTCCAGAAAAATACCGCGATAAAATACCTCGATTTTGTAACCGAGAGTCAGACTTCCAAAGTGTTGCGATCCTCGCTAAAAATATATCTAATTTATCTATATTTGTAGATTAATGGAACTTTTATCCGCCACTCATTTTCCAAATATCGAGTTTATAATTGTGTATAGCCAATCTATCTCATTTTTAGAAAAACGATGACATTCCTTGTTATTTTTTTTCTTTATCAATTTTCGATTAAATAAAATGAACGGCTCATATTTATGTGTATTGCAATATAATAATAATAATAATATGCCTGGAACCTGCTTGGAACCTGCTTGCAGGAGGGGTAGTGTAGGACCTCTCCCAGGCGCCTCCCCAGGTGGCGGATAGAATGCCTCCCAGATATGGGTGGTACCGGGGAAATCAAATACCCGGGGTTTTGACACGACGGATCTCCATGTAAGGAGCGGTAGTCCGATAGCCTCTGTACTCCATGTTAGGAGCGGCTAAATACTACCTGGCAGAAGGTATAAAATGCACTTACCATGTTAAAATGAGAAGAGTACAATGAGCCTCGGAAGCAGAAGGTGCGGGGGCAGCACCTGCAAGCGGACAGTCCCAGCCCCTAGGAGGAACGAGTGAGACGGGCGACGCTCACCTCCGAACCGGAAAAGCCCGGCCTGAAGATGGACTTGAAAATCAAAATCGAACCGATAGCTTGGGCAACCATACAGGAAGCCCCGCTAATTGACGACAAACACGAAACAGGCGTATGCGCTGGTCAAGAGAAGTTAATATCAATCTCATACGTGCATACTATATTGCCACGAAAAATGAAAACGAAATGACAGGTTACAGGACACAAATAGTTAGGATATGGAACGATACTTACCCCCACAACCCAAAAACATCTCAACAACTGTCAGGCCAAATAAGATCAGTTCTTAATAGAAAAGTATTTTCCCAAGCAGAGTTACAAGCCTTAAAAGAAGAAGTGGCACCACACAAAGAACCGCATTCCGCCATACAGGAAGTTGTAGAGGAAAGCGCTGAAGACAAACGAGAAACCGTGACAACTCTTCTCACGGAGGACAAAACCGTCCCAGCGGTTAACAGAAATTCACTTCCAATTTGAAGAAAACTGTTTAAAATACGAAGGTATCCCGCTACAGTTAAGAGACAAAATCCCAAACCAAACCAAACCAAACCAAATACAATGTAAAAACTCTTCAAACTGTTAGACTGGTTAACAATATACTTGCTCAGAAGCTACACTCTAGCTCCAACCTAGAGGAAACCTGCCACCTAATTTACAGTGCCGCAATAACTGTTTGTAATGCAACAGGATGTAGTACCTAACACAGAATATCACGAGAGATCAAGACAGATAGCAACCCACCGGGGAAAAGAAGACTGGAATCAAAAATAATGAAATTAAGGGAAATGATAGGGCCAATTAACACATACCCAAAATCCTGCTGGCTCTAGCGTTAGATTAAGGCATAGAGTTAACAACATAGCCAAAGCACACGATCTTAATATCAATGAACCAGCTTACCAACAGAACCTAAGAACGCTCCTTGAGAACCTCAAACAAAAAATTTCCGCCTTAGGGGCTAGACTAAGAAGATACAACAAAAGGGTTAAGCGATACAAACAAAATCGTGATTTCCAACTGAACCAGAAACTCTTCTACCGCAACCTTTCAACAGATTCCCAACAACAGCAAGGAAAACCCCCAGAGAAGGCGCATATGATGGAATATTGGAGTGAAATATGGTCTCAGGAAGAAAATCATAATAAGGATGCCTATTGGCTGAGAAACGAAGAACAGAGAAACCAATGTATACCGGAAATGGAAAGAATAATAGTAACGGCAGAGTTGGTGAGAAAAGCTCTTACAAGGTTGAGCAACTAGAAGACCCCAGGGAATGATAAGATCCAAGCATACTGGTGGAAAAACTTTCCTGCTACCCACCCAATCTTGTCCAGACAGTTTCAGCAAGCCCTTGTCGACCCTGAAAAGATGCCGCCCTTCTTCACGCAAGGAGTAACTTACATGCCCCCCAAGAATCAGGAACCTGAAAATCCAAATAATTTTAGACCAATAACCTGCTTACCGGTAATCTATAAAATACTTACATCTATAATAAACGCCCAAATAACTCAACATCTAAAGAAAAATTAAATTCTAGCCATGGAACAAAATGGAAGCCGGGAGGGATCGCAGGGTAGTAGAGAGTGGACCGTAGTTGACGCCATCGTAACAAAACAGGCCATGGTTAAAAAAAGAAATATAGCAATGGCATGGATCGACTACCAGAAGGCGTTTGACTCCGTCCCCCATTCAGGGTTAGTAAAAACATTAGAAATATATAAAATTAATACAGAAGTAATATACTTCCTACGGCAAACCATGGATAGATGGAGAACGCAACTAGCGGTGAACCTGAATGGTGTTTCATACCTTACTGACACCTTAAAAATCCGGAGAGTCATTTTCCAGGGGGATAGCCTGGGCCCAATATGGTTTTGCTTGGCACTTAACCCACTTAGCTCTATGCTAAAGACTGGAAACTACGGGTACCAGATAACGAAAAACCCAAGTGTTCGACTAACGCACTTGTTCTACGTAGACAACTTGAAGCTCTACGCTACAAATAGGGACCAACTACACAGCCTGCTAGAACTAGTGTCATGTTTTAGCGAGGATATTAAAATGAAATTTGGTATCAGTAAGTGCGCATACGTGAACGTGATAAAAGGAAAAATCATAGAATCCGAAGGCATCGACTTGAGGGGAGGACAACACATCGCAGGACTCGAACTAGGTGCAAAGTACAAATATCTTGGTGTGCAACATTCCGCTATTATAGACCACACTGAAATGAAAAAGGCCGTCGAATCATCTTTTCTCCAACGCGTGACCAAAATACTTAAAACGGAATTATACTCTGGGGCAAAAGTCACGGCAATTAATTCTTGGGCAATACCAACTATATCCCACACATTTGGTATATTGAAATGGAGCAAAACAAACCTGGAAAGCATTGACAGGAAAGTAAGGGTGCTTCTAACAAAATTCAGGTCCCACCACCCACAAGATTCGACTGCCAGATTATACCTTCCGCGGGCAAATGGAGGACGAGGTTTACAAAATCTAGTCGTACAACACCACCAACCGCAGAGACTACTTTCTCCGTACCGATCAGCCATTGCATCGAGCGCTAATACAGGTTGACGACGGATACTCACAGCTTAAACTTGCAGATAAGAATTCCCCACCAATCCCAGTTACAATCAGCCAATTCGAGGAAGAATGGAAAGCGAAACCATTAGATGGACGGTATGCAGCCAACCTCAGAGGAGGTGAGGTCGATAAGAAGCTTTCAACGTCTTATCTTTCTGATGGCCAGCTAATGTTCGAAACTGAAGGATTCATAAACGGACAGGTAATACCTACGAGAAACCGGAGAAAATTCATCCTAAAAGAGGACTTACCATCTGATAAGTGTCGACTATGCCAGACAACTACTGAATCTATTCAACGCCTAACTGCTGGTTGCACATATCTTGCCCCGAGGGACTACCTAAACAGGCACAACCAAGTTGCAGGCGTAATACATCAGGAACTCTGTGTACAAACGGGGCTCCTTACTGCAAAAGTCCCATACTACAAATACCAGCCTCAGACGGTACTAGAAAACGAATCGTGGAAGATCCTATGGGACCTAGCTATAACAACGGATAGGACGGTGAGTTACAATCGACCAGACATCTTAGTTTTTGATAAGAAGCAAAGAAAGGCGCAAGTAATAGATATACAAATTCCAGCAGACGAAAATGTAGGAAAATCAAGAATGGAGAAAGTCCTGAAATATCAAGAACTGGCGGATGAGATAAAGAGAATGTATCAGTTGGAAAAGGTGGAAATATATCCTATAATAATATCGTGTAATGGGTTAGTAGATAAGTACTTACCTCGAAATCTTAAGGCTATCGGCATACGCAACCCGAAGCAAATTGTAGCAATCTCACAAAAAGCTGTCATTCTGGCAACCTGTCACACCGTGAGACGTATACTGGCAACAGATGGTCGCGTGTGTCTATAAAGACCCCGCAAACATTGGCCGTACCCAGCAAAAGTGCTGTGAAAAAAAAATAATAATAATATATAATATATTTAATGTTAAAATCAAGAACAAAGTCCAAACCACTGTCAAAAAAAATTGTTTATTGGTCTAACCTAACCTTAAAAATAGATAAACAATAAAACTTATATAAATCTATAAAAGCAAATAAAATATTTTTATCTTATTTCATTTGCTTTTGCGTTTCATCTTTCAAACAACACTATTTTATACCATGCCTAGTACATACCAAAAATCGCTATTTCGAAAGTAACGTAGCGACGGGAGCACCAACGCTAATAGTAACCGACCAAATCGGGACAGGCAAAACCGAAACCCTAGAAGCGCTCCAGCGACTGCTGGAACCAAGCTGAAACAAAGTACGTGGCCGCCGAGGTCGAGCGTCGATAATCAGTTACAGTAGTTACTTCTGTTCGCGACATTCTGAATAGAATATCATATCATATGTCAACTTTTGACATTCTCGCTTAATAAAAAATTGTATTTTAAAATTCAATTTAGAGTGCCATGGCTATGTTAAAAACATTAATTCTTCATCAAGGAGCCTTGGAAAAAATAGATTTGATGGTCTAATATGTTTTTAGTGTCTTGTACTGGTCAGTTAGAAAATGCTCAAATCACATTTTTAACCATATCTCAATTTTTTCAAATGGAACCAGGGTGGCTCATTAGCATATTTGGAAAAAGCATTTTTTACGAATAATTTGATACCACACACTTCGTATTTCAAATCGAATTTTCGTTACGAACCGCAAGTTATAATTTCATTCGGTGAAACCGGAAATGACCGAAAACAATTGAATACGTCAATCAATCTTAATTTATGTCATATACTAACATACCAAATCTCGTTTTTTTAGCTAAAAAATAAAAAAGTTATAAGGGTGAGCCACTTTTGAGACGCACCCGGTATTATAATGTTCTCATTAGCAATTCTCACCTATATTTTATCACAATAAGTATAAAAAGTGAAAATCCTCGATATTGTAAAATTGTAAAACACATTCAAATTAATCACCTTTTTCCAAAAGGAAAGAGAAACAGATACGGCAATAAATTTTCGTACGGGTCTTTTCCCATCCTGTTAAAATCTCAAAAATGTCAACTCCGAGTGTGGGAGTGCTGTTCAATGCCCAATGTTTCCCAGAATCTGGTTTATGTAATTTGACTTAGACAAGACTGTTATTAATGGCTTCTCAGAAATATCTTTGGGATGGTGTTTTATAAAAGAACAACGTTTCTACCATGAATAATATGATTTTACAAATTTTGAGAATACCATAGTAGTGTTGTGTAAACCTGAATCGTATTTTGATTTACCTCTCGTATTTGTTTCTATTAATATTTTTCTTTAACTTAATTCCTCAATGTTATGCTAATTCTTATTATGAAACAACTTATTTTATATGATAATTTTGGTATAACTTCACCCCAAAGAGACACAAACCACCCGATGGTTGCAATATATTTTTATACTGTATAATTGCTGCAAACCTAGAATTTTTAATTTATAACTATTATAATTTCTGTTTGTGTCAGTTAACTTTTTACGAAAGTGCGCTAAAATGTCCTTATGTATGACCCTTTTTTTACACCGGATGCGTCTCAAAAGTGGCTCACACCTCATACCTATAAGTTGTTTTATTCTTTCAGATAAAAAAAACGAGATTTGGTATGTTCGAAACATAAATTAGGATTGATTGACGTATTCAATTGTTTTCGATCACTTCCTGTTTCACCGGAAATAACTTCAACTTTTGATTTTTAAATGACACTCTCGGTATTCTTTGTTCGATAGAAAATGACACTCTGAATATTGTTGACATATAATATGTCAACTTTTGATATTTTTGCATATGGTTTATTTGAAATTGTAACATGCGGTTCATAATGATAATTTGACTCGAAATACCAAATGTGTGGTACCGAATTATTCGTAAAAATATGCTTTTTCCAAATATGCTAATAAGCCACCCTTGTTCAATTTGAAAATATTGAGATATACCGGGTGCGTCTCAAAAGTGGCTCACCCCTATAACTTTTTTATTTTTTCAGATAAATAAACGAGATTTGGTATGTTAGTATGTGACATAAATTAGGATAGATTGACGTATTCAATTATTGTTTTCGGTCACTTCATGTTGAAATGACTACAACTTTTGATTTTTAAATGGCACCCCGGTATATTTTTACTTTATTGGATAGAAAATGGCATTCTGAATAGAATGACATATCAGATGTCAACTTTTGACATTTTTGCTTAAAAATAAATCGCATTTTAAATTTCAATCTAGAGTGTCATGGCTGTGTTAAAAACACTAATTTTTAATCAAGGATCCTTGGAAAAATAGATTTGATCGCCTAATGTTTTTCGTGTCTTGTCCTGGCCAGTTAAAAGACGCCCAAATCGTTTTATAATCATATTTCAATTTTTTCAAATGGATCAAGGGTGGCTCATTAGCATATTTGAAAAAAGCATTTTTTTGCGTATAATTTGATACCACACAATAATTGGTGTTTCGAGTCAAATTGTCGTTATAAACCGCATGTTACAATTTCTAATAAATCATATGCGAAAATGTCAAAAGTTGACATATGATATGTCATTCTATTCAGAGTGTCATTTTCTATCGAATAAAGTAAAAAAGTATCGATGGTGCCATTTAAAAATCAAAAGTTGTAATAATTTCCGGTGAAACAGGAAGTGACCGAAAACAATTGAATATGTCAATCAATCCTAATTTATATCATAATAGTTTAAGCCTGGCGCATCCGCCACGACATCAGAATTTTTTGTTTAATTAAATGAAAAACAAAAAATCCGGCGACGACAGTTTTTAGAAGAGCCAATTAGTTATCTTTTACTAAAAAAAGCAACTTTCTACAGCAAGTTGTTACTTCAGTAGAGACGACACAGATCAACATTAGCATTTTATATTTGTAGATATTAACACACCAAATTTCGTTGGCTTATCTGAAAAATTAAAAAAGTTATAGAGGTGAGCCACTTTGAGACGCACCCGGTATTATATGATTTAAAAAACGATTTGGGTATTTTTTAACTAGCCAGGAAAAGGCACGAAACATTAAATGATCGAATCTATTTTTCCAATGCTCCTTGATTAAAAATTAGTGTTTAACATAACCATGGCACTCTAGATTTAAATTTAAAATACGATGTTTTTTAAACGAAAATGTCAGAAGTTGACATATGACATGTCAACATTCTATTCAGAGTGTCATTTTCTATCCAATAAAGTAAAAATATAACAGAGGATGTTATTAAAAAATCAAAAGTTGTAGTAATTTCCGGTGAAACAGGAAGTGACCAAAAACAAATGAATACGTCGATCAATCCTAATTTATTTAATATACTAGGTAACACACGAAATCTCGTTTTTTAACTGAAAAAAATAAAAGCTGTTCTGTAATTTTTCTCTATGTCAACTTTCGAAATCATATATTTTCTTATAGACTATTTCGGGTGCGTCTCAAAAGTAGATCACCCCTATAACTTTTTTATTTTTTCAGATAAAAAACGAGATTTGGTATGTTGGTTGTGATGACATAAATGAGGATTGATTGACGTTTTCAATTCTTTTCGGTCACTTCCTGTTTCAGCGGAAATGACTACAACTTTTGATTTTTAAATGGCACCCTCCGTATTTTTTTACTTTATTCGATAGAAAATGACTTTCTGAATCGAATATCATATGTCAACTTTTGACATATTCACTCAAAAACAAATTGTATTTTAAATTTCAATCTAGAGTAAGTACCATGGCTGTATTAAAAACACTAATTTTTAATCAAGGAGCCTTTGAAAAATAGATTTGATAGTCTAATGTTTTTAGTGTCTTGTCCTGGCCGGTTAAAAGATGCTGATATCGAATTTTTAATCATATCTCATTTTTTTCAAATGGAACGAGAGTGGCTCATTAGCATATTTGAAAAAAAGAATTTTTTACGAATAATTTGATAAATAAAAAAAACACACTTGGTATTTCAAGTCAAATTGTCGTTATGAACTGCATGTTATAATTTCAAATAAACCATATGAGAAAATATCAGAAGTTGACATATCTATCAAAAAAAGTAAAAAAATATCGATGGTGCTATTTAAAAATCAAAAGTTGTAGTAATTTCCGGCTAAAACCGGAAGTGACCGAAAACAATTGAATATGTCAATCAATCCTAATTTATATCATATATTAAAATACCAAATCTCGTTTTTTTATCTGAAAAATAAAAAAGTTATAGGGGTGAGCCAATTTCGAGACGCACCCGGTAGATATTTATTAAATATTCATTTCTACTGGGTTCGGCAATAGTGCGTCGGCCATCTAGCTCCTATAATAAAAAAGTTAGGAATTTTGTTTAAGTGCAAGCCTAAAGTATGTATTAGGATGTATTGCGGGAAAATATTTTAACCTCTACAGGGTGGCTCAAAAAAGTGTGAGTGGATAAGAATGATTTTTTTAAATGGAACACCCTGTATATTATTGCATTGTTGACTTCCTTTTTGATCACTTTACATAGTCCTAAGATATTATTAAACATGTTTTGATAGTTCCATAGATATTAATAAATAAGTAAAAAAAATATTTTTTTCAACCTTTTTTCAAAAAATTATTTAAAATACAAGAAATGTCCCGAAATCAAAATCTATATTAGGTATTTACTGTAGTGGGTCTGTACCTACTTTGCTACAAATATCGTAATATTTAACTATACAGGTTGTTCAAAATTGTATGCCAAACGTTTTAAAATATAAAATAGTTTTTCTTCATTTTTATAATGGAACACTCTGTATATTATTTTTTTATTAGATGGAGGATTAAAAAATGAACACTTTTTGTATTTAAAGTATTTCAGAACTTTTAACGATTTTTCGGATATTCGTGGTAACGGGATTTTCAACAGTATAACTTTTTATCAACCTAACCTAACCAAACCCAATGATTTTTGTTCTGTATTTTACCGTTGAAAGAGCCATATGTAATAAAACCGCGAATATTTGCGAAACCGCTGAAAATTTTTAAATACTTTAAATACAAAAAATGCTCATTTTATAATTCTCCATCCAACAAAAAAATAATATGCAGATGAACGAAAAAACGCTATTTTATATTTTAAAAATTTGGCATACAATTTTGAACACCCTGTATGGTGAAAGATTACGAAATGTGTAGCAAAGTAAGCACAGACCAACTACAGTAAATACCTAATATAGTTTTTGATTTCGGAACATTTCTCGTAGTTTTAATAATTTTTTGAAAAAGGGCTGAAAAAAAAATATTTTTTTTACTTATTTATTAATGTCTTCAAAACTATCAAAACGTATTTAGTAATATCTTAATTAATAATATCTTTCTTATCTTCGTAAAGTGATCAAAAAGGAAGCCAAAAATGCAATAATATACAGGATGTTCCATTTAAAAAAAATCATCCTTATCCACTCACACTTATTAGAGCCACCCTGCAGAGGTTAAAATATTTTCCTGAAATACATCCTAAATACGTACTTTAGGTTTGCACTTTCCTAACACAAAATTCCTAACTCTTTTATTATAGGAACTACAGATGACCGACGCACTATTGCCGGACCCTGTAGAATATAAATATGATATAATATATAGTATAACAGCAAGAGTCCCTACACTGACCTAAGTACTAAGTATACCTGTTTAAATGAACAGTTCTCATTGCAAAGAACGCAAATAAAATGGTTAAAAACGGTTTTCCTATAAGTCATGTCATAAATTATTCAAATTATACCTTCCTGGTCCTAGTTGAAAATATTTTTTTTACGTTGATCTTTGATCGTCTCGTTTGTCAAAATGTTCTAAATGCTTTTCCCTATTTTGACAATCACATTATTTTGACATTCACATTATTATTTGGTTTAAACTATCGAAATTATATATTCTTTTGCTGGACAGACCATGGATATTATTATAATTATAATATAGCCCTAGGTCAGTAAAAAAATTGTTTATTTAAAAAATGTTAATATATATGTACATATAAATAATCGTTTTTACGTTTTTCTGAAAGCTTATTTGAAAGCGAAAATATACAACGCATTTTATCACATCACGTTACGTTATTGATGAACCGAATTTACTGTATCCGGTTTTTCTAACTCTAATAATTACTAAAACATCCTTATGTGTGAATTTATTAACGATAGATTTAAGTTCCATATTTGAAAAATTATCCATATATGTATAGACACTAAATTTACTAGATGAGATGGACTATATGTGTTAATATCGGGGAGAACGATGGTGCTGCCCTCTCAGAAGTTCAACCGGCGAACGCGGAACTAAATAAGTGAAATGAAAACATGGCGGCGTATGTTTGGTGTTTGTGTCATTTCTTGTGAAACCATTCATTTTTTTAGTGTTTTAGTTTAAAATGGACAATAAAAAAAGTCCGATTCGACGGGCAAAACGTGGACCTAAAGTGGTAGAAGATAATTTTTGGGATTGCAGTGTGTGTACGTTCAGAAATACAGCGGAAGCTTTTAAATGTTTGATGTGTGACGTTCGGAAGGGTACTTCTACGCGAAAACCCCGTATCAATCCCCAACTAGTAGCCCAGCAAGTTGCTAGTCAATACCTTCCAGCAGCTAGTAGTAGCAATACTAAAAAAGAACGAAAGGATAAGAAAGCTTTAAAAAAACGACGGCATCCTCCGCGTTTAAAAAATGTCGATAGAAGCACCGCACAAACTAGAGAAGTGACTGTAAACAGTGTTACGGTTGTTATTACCGAATATAAACCGAAAATTAAGTCTGCAGAAACAGTTACCAGCAGTAGCTCCTCTGATCACGGCTCTCAGTCCGAATCCAGCATGGACGCCAGGTAGAAACCATTGTAATTTTAACGTTGGGGTGCATGTCCCCTCTCCGGCTATCGTATTTTTTTTTCATAATGTCAGCGACTCATGGCAAGGGACAATGACTTTTAGAACATATACAGATGCATTTATACACAAGCTACTGCCGTTATTTTACAGGAATATGTTTTTTTTTCTTACAATTCACTGCCATGACAATGTTGTTCAATGTTATTCCATTAATATTTTTAAGTATCAACGATGGGACGGATCCTTAACAAATTACCGTGATTAATTTTAAGTCTAGTTCAGTAAGTTCTTTTTATCAAATATGACTGAAAATGGCATAAGAAACGAATGCATTACAAATGCTAGTTTTTGTATTACCTAAAGGTATGCTAAATATATTTTATTGTCAATGGAAGACTAATGATAATGAATCTCATTCATATCTGTTTTATAGCCTATTTCTTTCAAGAATAATAATAAATAATTATTATTCCTCTTGTCTATTTTGAATTACACAATTCTGCTGTAGGGAATTTACCACTATACCGGGTGCGTCTCAAAAGTGGCTTACCCCTATAACTTTTTTATTTTTTTAGATAAAAAAACCATATTTGGTATGTTAGTATATGACATTAATTAGGATTGATTGGATTCAAATGGAACGAGGCTGGCTCATTAGCATATTTGGAAAAGGCATTTTTGTATGAATAATTTGATACACTCAAATTACATATTAAATTTTTGTTATGAACCGCATATTATAATTTCAAATAAACCATATATGCAAAAATGTCAAAAGTTGACATATGATATGCCATTCTATTCAGAATGTTATTTTCTATTGAATAAAGTAAAAAAATACCGAAGGTGAAATTTAAAAATCAAAAGTTGTAGTCGTCTCCGGTGAAACAGGAAGTGACCGAAAACAACTGAATACGTCAATCAATCCTAATTTATGTTATATACTAAGATGCCAAATCTCGTTTTTTTATCTAAAAAAAAATAAAAAAGTTATAGGGGTGAGCCACTTCTGAGACGCACCCGGTATATTCTTTTAATTTTAGTTACCTTATAATAAAAAAATAGTTTTGTGGTCAAGATAGCTTTAGATGTTGAGAGTTTTTTACATAAAAATTATTTATCTGTTACCGTCCATAGCTTTACTTTTCATCATCAAATTGTTTGAGACACACTATGGAACAATAATTTGGGAGCTATGATATATTACACTAAGATATATATAATTTTTGATGCCTGAAATTTAATTATTGTGAGATTTATTATTTATACTCATACTCACAATATAAGTACCTACCTAACAGACTTTTTTAAGTAATTCAAAAATTTTATCTTCATACAAATTTCTGCCCCTAGATAAATTCGTCAAAAATACAAAATTTATAGTAAAAATGTTCTAATATTTTCACATGCATAAAAAATTACTTGAATAAGTTTGTTAATCTAAATTAATTACTCAATTTCAAATCTCCTGGGGTATCTCTATTCGATATTTCTATTTTGAGACAAAAAATTACCGTCAAATTTTTCCCAACATTGAGATACCTACTCTGTAATTTAACGTGTATAAATATTGAAGGACAAAATATTATAACTATGACGTTTTTATAACTATAGAATGATTATAGTAATTTTTAATTGTCATTTATATGCCTTAGTTTTTTCTTGCCTCAAAACTAAGAGAGTAAATATATGTAAATAAAATTATAAATTAATATGTGATGTTTCTAATTATCATCTCTTTTAATAACCCATAAATTGTCTACATTAATTAAAAAATGATATATGTATTTTTTTATTTTTAAATTTATAATGAATTCTGTAAAATAAAAGATATATGTTTAAAATATACTTGTATAATAATTGTAAACAAAATAATATAATTTTTGTACATTGCTTTAAAAGAAGCCACACTTGAAAAGTCTAATGAGACCTGTAAACTGTAACCTTGTAAAGAATGTCTACATTGAACGTATTGTATTTTATAATATAGGTAATTTATATAATCGCTAGAAACAGTTTGCTCATTGTTAAAGTTTGTGAATGAATAAATGTAATGTGAATGTAATTTTTGTAATGTGTTGGTAGAAGACATAATAAATTATTATTTCTGTATTGAGTTGTTTTATTCTAGCTACATTGCTGACTACATATTTCAATTTACATAACTCACAGAAATGTAAACCCAATATTAATTTCATAAGTGATTTAAATAAATATGTAAAAATAAGTTGTCTTTAGCATATTTACTTTTTATCATCTAAAAATAAAATTGATTTTTGAATTGGATTAAAAATGAGACAAGAAAATTTATCCTGCTGCTATCGGGTATATGTCAAATTTGACATTTAAAGTAATCAATCTATATAAAAACTGGGTTTGTTGGTTGAGTTTTGAAAAACCGGATTTGGAAAAGTTGTTTTTTTATAATTTTACCTAAGTATACCAAGTTTGCGGTCATATAAATGAAAAAAAAAACCTAGCAGCTGACTTTCGTGATAATAACAAAAATTACAAATGATAGTCCGATTCGTCAGTTAAGACCGTGGCAACCGTGGACTTTTACAGAAAATAGCTCTATATTATAAATAAGTCAAAAATTAAAAATCCTCCCTTGTACAGTGGCGGATACAGAGGGGGGGCCAAGGCCCCCCCTTTAATCCCCCAATCTTAATTATTTTTAAAGGCACCCTCGGTATATTGCTACTTTATTCGATAAAAAATGACACTCTGAATAGAATGACATATCATATGTCAACTTTTGACATTGTCGCTTAAAAACATATCCTATTTTAAATTTCAATCCAGTTTTTTTCAATCCACTAAGTTTTAATCAAGGAGCCTTGGAAAAATAGTTTTGATCGTCTAATAGGTTTCGTGTCTTGTCTAGGCCGGTTAAAAGATGTACAAATCGTATTTTTAATCATACATATGTCAATTTTTTCAAATGGAACAAGGGTGACTCATTAGCATATTTGGAAAAAGCATTTTTTTTATGAATATATTGATACCACACACTTGGTATTTCGAGTCAAATTGTCGTTATGAACCGCGTGTTACAATTACAATTAAACCATATGCGAAAATGTCAAAAGTTGACATATGATATGTCATTCTATTCAGAGTGTCATTTTCTATCGAATAAAGTAGAAATATACCGAGGGTGCCGTTAAATTAAAAGTTATAGTCATTTCCGGTGAAACAGGATGTGACCAAAAACAATTGAATGCGTCAATCAATCCTAATTTATTTCATATACTAACATACTAAATCTTGTTTTTTTATTTGAAAATATAAAAAAATTATGGGGATGAGCCACTTTTGAGACGCACCCGGTATAATAAAGACAGTACCGAGTTAGGGTTAACAAAAACTTAGTTAGGGTTAGTTTTTATTTTATCCACTTCCTATCACCTTCCTTGCTTTAATGGAACAGATTTATGTTTTCTCTAATTTACATAATAAGACATCACTTAACCAGAAAAAAAATTACAACAATCATATTTTTTTTCTCTCCCTGTCGCCGATTCTATTATATCTGTGGAATAGATCCTGTTTTGATTAATATTCGGGGTTGTAAATGTTTGACTAAAATTAATAATTTATTATTAATTTCAAAAATTACCTAATTTCGATTATAAAATTTCTTCTATAACGTGTATTTTATTATTTTTATCCTTTTTGGACTCTAAATTGTTTTTTCTAAACTTTTATTTAAAAAACCTGTCCTAAATCTTAATAAAATATAAAAAAGTTTAAATACGATATATTTTTAATTTAATTATAGCTTCATTAAAATAAAAAATTACCCGGCTATGATACGGAGAGTTCAGGTGTACTTGAGAAACGAAAGACAGTGTTGTGTTTCTCGGCAGAGTCGTCAGGGAACGACCGTTACGACAGAGACAACCTATCTACCGCTCGTGTCGCACTCGTTATAACCTAAAACAATAACACAACAATAACAAGACAGTGTCTGACCGCATGTTCCAGCTATTTATGAATGAGATGCTCAGTCTATATTTTATTTTTAGTCTATGGTTTTAAGAAATGTCTAAAAATCTTCAAAATCGTTTGTACTTTTATGTAGTCATAAGATAAACTAACGCTAAATAATTAAAATTGACCTAAATCAATTAAATTACTAAAAAAATCTCAAGTGATGGGAACTTATCTTGGACACAGTATACCGGGTGTTTCTCGAAAGTGGCTCACCCCTAAAACTTTTTAATTTTTTCAGATAAAAAACGAGATTTGGTACGTTAGTATACGACACAAATCAGGATTGATTGGCTTATTCAATTGTTTCCCACTTTCTGTTTCACCGGAAATGGCTACAACTTCTTGACACCCTCAGAGACAAAAGTCGTAACGTTTTTATTTGTTATTGGGCATGAAATGTGGCATACCTTTTTTAGCCGAGCATACCAACAGGTATGGTAGGCTATTAAGATCGGCAAAAAAAAGTTTTTTTAATTTCACTCAAAATGAGTTATTTGTGTCATAAATGACCTAAATACAACATATTTTCATGGTGTATGTCTATCTGTCTGTCCGTCTGTTCGTCTGTAACACGATAACTCAAAAACCGCTAAACCGATTTTAACCAAATTTGGCACAAAAATACTGTGGCACCCGAGAATCTGGCCATTAGTTTTTGGTGGCCGTCGGGGGTTGGTAAGGGGGTATGGGAGGGGGTTAAAATATTTAAAAAGTCGTAACTCTAAAATTTCAGTAGCTAGCGAAACGCGGTTTTCAATTTAAGATTAGGAATAATATTTGCAACAAAATTTGTAATAACATCAAAAACAGTCAAAGCCGCAGTTTTTGAGATAATAGTACGAAATACTAGCACCAATAATAGTACGAGAACTAGCAACCTTGGAAAAACAAGTATTTTAAGACGTCTGGCTCTTTGATATATCTTTTACAATGCACTCTAGAACAGCATGCGGCCCGTCTGGCTGCCGGTAAACGTTGCGTTCCCTACTGCGCATTGAAAAAGATCCTATATTTTTATTAGTCCTTTAAATTCCAGTATTGAATATAAATCGAACATGTCTTCGTAGCGCAGTGCGTAGAGTTTCTGACCACGAACCGATGATTCAGAGTTCGAATCCCGGTCAGGGCAAAGACTTTTTTATTTTATTTTCGTTTATATTTTGATAGTAAAGTATTAAATATTTGTTTTTTTTTAATTACCAGAACCATTTTTTTGGTGCTGTTAAAGGATGATATTTTCCTTATATTTTCTAATAACTATTGTCACCCTTTCCATAGTGTTACGTTTTTCGTTCAAAGTCACAATTTATTTAAACACTATTTATTTAACACTAATTAACAAAAATAATAACGATAAAAGACTTATAGAACTATTTACAAACGATTTATAACTAAGAATTTATTTTGAATTTTAGCGCGTCAACTGTATATTTATAACTGCCCTCTCTAGGCCACTGCCGCCGGCTTTTATACCTACAGCAAAAGAAATCTAGAATAGTCCATAGATCGTTAGGCGCATAGAGAAGGTTTTCGAATGTTCTCGTATGTACTAGTCCATTCTAGTGGGTCTCGATTCTTCTCGAACGAATGAATC